AGAGGAGGAGGGATGTGGAGGCTCCCCCCATTCTCCGAGGCGAGTGCATGGCCCCAGCTAGTGAAACTCAGCATGTTCCTCTCCCAGTGAGAACCTCACAGAACTTCCTGGATGTGGGTGTCTTAACCTAGAATCTATTTTGAAACTACATTCTGTGTCTTAACCCTTTCCTGGAAGCAAGCCCACAGCTGTCATCAATTCTCAAAGGGGTTTATGAACCAAAATAAGTTTAAGGGCACGTTACTTTTTTAAAAAGATATTAAGGAGTAGAAAAGAAAGAAACATGCAGACAGCTGAGTTTTCCTGATCTCCCTAAATTTCTCAGGGTCAACAGAAAAGGCTTAAAATGAGCCTGCAGTTTGAACCAGGACCCTAGAAAGGGGTCTTTTTCTAGAAGGAACCACCCAGCACGATGCTGCAGGAACTCCGAATGTCTGAATGGTTGGAGGCATCCTGGACCACCACCCTCAATCACAAATATTTCAGGATCTTGGGGGGAGGGGAGGCCAAGGAATCTAGCTTTCAGACCAAATCTGAGGCTGCTGTTGTATTTGCTCTGCAGTTTGTGCGAGAACACATTATCCACATGCCTCAAGAGGATTACGTCAACTGGCTGCAGAACCGGATCAGCATCCCCGTCCGGCCCCAGACTGCCCGGACATAGTGTGGGCCGGGTCGGCCAGCTGTCCCGGGGGAGGAGGCTAGTCCACACTGTGCTCCTGCTTCCTGCCTGTTCTGGATGCTCATGATCTAGTAGGGCCACCTGGAGACTGACTTCTGGCAACAGAAAGGGAGCTACTCCCAAGTAGAAACTCCCCTTACCCAACACCCCAGTCCAACCTCCCAGTCTCTGTTCCTCACTGGCCTGGCCTGACTCTACCACTCCCTTCTCCAGATTCCTGCACTGCATCCTCAAATTCCAGATAATAAAATTGAGCTGAATGTTTGATGTCTGGCTGGGAAAGAGTTGGAGCTGGAATCTGGGTGTGGTATTCAGATACTAACGAGCTTTTGCTATTCAATGGGCTCCATGCTGGGTGATATTATGGCCTCATAATATCATTTACAATCATGTTCAGCTGCCTCTGCATTCCCTCCCTACCCCTACTGACCCCCAGCCCTCAGAGCATGAGACAAGGAGGTCACAAAAGCTATCTTGCTTTTGGAGTCATTCCCAAGGGATCGCTCTAATGGCGGGGCTTCCTGGCACCATATTAACTTCGATTTGCACAGCAATCCACAGTTTGCAAATTAGATAATACTCCAGCAGCAGCATATGCAACGCTCAGAACATCCCTCTGAGGTAGGCTTTGTTATCATCGCCATTTCACAAGTAAGGACACCAAAACCTAAGGTCATCTGCCAACAGTCACACAGGCAGTAAGTGGCAGAGCCAACTCTAGAATGGGTGTCTGTCTGTCTAGCACAGGGGAGATGCTGAAATCACAGGACTTACTCCACCCTCCTGCTTGCCACTTTCCAAGGCTATTTCTCAGAGCTGCAGCACCACCTAGTGGTTTATGTTAGTATTATGCTTCCATCATGCTTGCCTGCAAAATATATATAACCTTCTACTGAAAAGGCAGGCAGCAAGCATTACCAGCAGCAACAAGACCTACTTTGGTTAGGCAAGGAACATTTATTCAAACAAAGGCTCTTCTACTACTAAAGTAGATTAGGGACTAGGGGGAGGCACTACATCACCTCCCAGATTCCAGCCTCAAAGAAGAGCTTCAGGGAGAAATACTTATTTTAGAGGCTTTTGTCTTGGGACTCAAATTGGTCATCTTTTGGTGGAGGTCAGAGCCAGTTATTCAGTCATAATACATTTTAAAACCATTTAAATCTTCCAAATGGCAAAATTAACTATGCCAACACCTACCCAAAGATGTAAAATTCTTCTCACCAAAAAATGGGGAGGTTGGAGCCATCCTACGGGGCTTCATGAGGCACATTCACATCCAAAGTCCCAAAAGCAAAACAGAGATGGAAAAAAACAAAATGCTGACTATTGGGGCAAACTTTCCACTTGACATGGACTTGAAGAAGGTGTTCATGGGAATAGGTGTGTGAAGGAGGAGAATGATTCCTGTTAAGTGGAAAACAAGTCCTGAGGTGGCAACTGGGTGAATGGAGTTGAGGGAGGAAGGGGTGCCACTTGGTGGGTGGGAGGTGGGAGGGCAGCTCATGATGCTCATGGAGTGTTTGAGCCAGGTTAGACCTTGTCATCTACTTGAGCTTGAGTATGTGAGAGAGATCACAGGTGTAAAAAGACACCTAGACCCTATCCTCCAGGATTATGCAGAAGGTTTTAACAGTGGTCCTATAGCATGATGGTTAAGAGAAAAGGTTCTGGTGTCAGATAGGGAAAATCCAGATCCTAACTGTGCTCTCTCACGAGCTACATTACTTTGGAAGGTGTCTTCACTTCCACATACCTCATCTTTAAAATGGGTATAACAGCCCTAACCTGTTTGGCTCATTGGATAAAGCGTCAGCCTGTGGACTGAAGGGTCCCAGGTTCAATTCTGGTCAAGGGCATGTACTTTGGTTTCGAGCACATCCCCGTAGGGGATGTGCAGGAGGCAGCTGATCAATGTTTCTCTCTCATCGATGTTTCTAACTCTCTAGTCCTCTCCCTTCCTCTCTGTAAAAAATAAAATAAAATGGGTATAACACCACGGAATCAATGCGAGAGCATGGGTAAAGCACACAACTCACAATAAGACTCAATACACGTCATAACGATGGAGGTGGCGACAGGCAAAGTGGTACAGATGGAGCACACAGAAAGCCACCCGCCCAACCTGGCAAGTCGAGGAAGGCGCAACAATGTCTTTAGACACATGCAATGAAATCTGATCCTGGCTCATTTCACCGAGCCTCTACATTACTACCTCTGAGGACATGAAGGTCTGATTGCCAAAGCCTCAGTCACATGACCACATCCAAGCTGCATGAAAGCTGAGAAAGCAGATTCTGACTTTTTCAACTTTTATAATAGGAGGACGATTCATATCATAAAGTACAAGATTCCCCCAAAAAAGAAAGAAACCACAAGAAAATAAGCCAAAGTGTCCTCTAGAGAAAGCTTCCTGGGATAAGTACCAGCTTAGCTGAGTCAAAATGATTTACATCCCATATGTTACCAATGAAGAGACAGGACAAAGACAGGTGGACTTTTCCAAGGCTACAGCTTTGGGAGGAAGAAAGAATGGGGCTGGAAAGAGCGAGCAGTGGGGTTCAGGAGGAGACCCAGAAGGGACCTCTGATGAGGCTGTGGGAGGAAGATGCTAAAAATCTCAGCCAGAAGTTGATGTTGGGTCTAGAAGTGGTGGCAGCAGAGAAGAATAGGGGACCGTGGTTAATATCCAAGCCTGGGAAGAAGTTGGAATCCAGCATAGAAGACTATCCCATATAATAAAAGGCTAATATGCAAATTGTCCCCTAGGGAGTTCGACCAGGAGACTGGGAGTTCAATTGCTCGCTATGACGTGCACTGACCACCAGGGGGCAGCGTGGAACATGGCAGGTGACTAGCAGTGGCCCACGGGGCAGGGAGGCTGGGAGGTGGGGAACCTGATCGGCCCTGATTGCTGGCCAGGCCTAGATACCCTACCCACGCACGAATTTCGTGCATCAGACCCCTAGTTGTATAATAAAGAAATTGTCTGGGTTTTTATGCCCAATTCCTGGGACAGAGCCTCTAAATCCTTGGAAGTTTTCAAATAATAGAAGCATCTTTGTTATTCATAGTGGGGCCCTCAGGCCACACCTGAATTTATGCTAATGAGGTGGATAGTTTTAGATTGGGGGCTAGCCATACTAGAAAGATCAGTCATGTGATTAGAAGGTTGGTGCTCTGAGTCATGTGATGTCAGTTTGTCCCTCCTGAAGGTCAGGGAAAGAAGTGAGATCAGGTTCAGTCACAGGGTTAATGATTCAATCAGTCACGCCCACATAATGAAACCCTAATAAAAACTCTGAATGCCAGGAGCATCAGCGAGCTTCCCTGGTTGCTAACCGTATACGATGTACCAGAAGGGTAATAATCTTGAGGAGATGGAAGCTTCAAAGTTTGGAACCCTCCCAGCCCTCTTCCTGTGTAACTCTTCATTCCAATGGTCTTTATTTACACCCTTTACAATAAAATTGTAATCATAGGTGTCACATTGCCCTGAGTTCTGTGAGTTGTTCTATTGAATGGTTGGACCTAAGGGGCTATTGGTAACCCCTAAATCAGTGATGGCGAACCTTTTGAGCTTGGCGTGTCAGCATTTTGAAAAACCCTAACTTAACTCTGGTGCCGTGTCACATATAGAAATTTTTTGATATTTTCAACCATAGTAAAACAAAGACTTATATTTCTGATATTTATTTTATATATTTAAATGCCATTTAACAAAGAAAAATCAGCCAAAAAAATGAGTTCGCGTGTCACCTCTGACACGCGTGTCATAGGTTCGCCATCACTGCCCTAAATTGTCTAATGAATTATTGGACCTAGGGGCTACAGGTAACCCCCAAATTTGAGCCATTTGGTCAGAAGTGTAGGTGGCCTGGGAACTCCTGAACTTATGGCTATCTTCGGGCATTCTTGTTGGGGACTGTGCCTTTAAGCTGTGAAATCTGACCTAACTCTGGGTAGTTAGCATCACAATTGCATTGCCAGGAGAAAGCTGCCAACCAGGCAGAAGGCTCTGCTGTTCCAACCCTGTGGTTGAGCCTCCGTCAAAGAGAAAGCTGCCAACCAGGCAGAAGGCTCTGCTGTTCCTGTGGTTGAGCCTCCTTCAAGGGAAGTCCTCATTCAAAGGTGTGGAAGGCAGGTGTAGCTCGTGCTTTCACACCCCTCCCCTTTAGGTAACGGCCCCTTCCCCTGGATTCTCATTCATTGTGATGGGACAGTGCTTCAACCCCAGTGCTAGGTGTGGTCATGTGACCAAGACCTGGCCAATCCAAGCATTACATTTACCTGACCATAGCCAATGGTTCAGAGATGGACACCCGAGGGAACCCAATAAAAGTCCATCCCTGAGCTTCTGTTGGAATTGATGAGAACAAGAAGAATTCTTCTGGAATTGTTTGCTTCAAGGATAAAATAAGCCTAGAGCTTCTGGGAACCACCACTCACAGAGACACTGCCAACAGAGGAAAACCAAGCTGGAAAAGGCAGTCAGAGAGATGATAAATCTCAGTGACATCGTTTTGAGCTACCTGGACACACCCAGACCCTCAAACTACTTAGTTACAGGAGCTAACAAATTCTCTCTCCTACTTAAGCCAGACTCGGTTGGGTTTCCTTCTCCTTTGTTCTTAATTAATGCAACAGGAAAGAGAAAAGCAATCTGTGGCCAACCATGGCCAAATTCCAGATGCCCCTGAGGAAGCGCCTGTCCTCTCACAGGGCTGGTGGGACAGCAGCGGGAGAGACCATCACCAGGTATATCATGCAGGAAAAGCGAAGAGAAAATCCCACGTTAAACCCACCACATCAATCAAGAGAAAAAGACCAAGAACACAGATGTTTTATCACTCAGCTTTGCAGCAGGTGTGAAAGTGCCCATTTGGATTTAAAAGAGCATGAAGTGAATGTCAGGTGGGGACTGTCATCAGAGCCAATTCTCGTGTTATCTGCCACCGTGCAAAGTGGTGCTGGGTAAGTGAATGTCTTAGCTCCATGGTCTCCAAAGAGTGTGTGTGTGTGGGGGCGGGGGGGCACCCGAGGCTCCATTAGGGAGAGGAAATATTGGAATGTATATTTACAGTTATCTTTTTTATTTAAGTAGAGTTGATATGTTGTGTTAGTTTCGGGTGTACAATAGAATGATTCGACATTTATATATGATCTCCACACTAAGTCTAATTTATCACAGTTTTATTGACTATATTCCCCTTCACCTATTTATAAATATCTTAAGTATGTTTTAAGCGTGACTAGTAATGTAGATGTAGACTGACCTTGGAACCTTCACTCTGTCTCTACTGACAACAATGCCACATGTCTGGTATCAAACAGACAAGCCAGCAAACACAATGGGGAGGAGGGTTCTGCAGTATGAAGTGGTTAACAATGGCATCATTGACTTCTCATCCCCACTCTTATTCCAAGAAACTACAAAGCCTCTTCTTTTTTTCCCCCCACTTTTTTTTAATATATATTTTTATTGATTTCAGAGAAGAAGAAAGAGGGAGAGAAACATCAATGATGAGAGAGAATCATTGATCAGCTGCCTCCTGCATGACCCCCACTGAGAATTGAGCCCACAACCTGGGCATGTGCCCTGACCTGGAATCAAACCAGTGACCTCTTGGTTCATAGGTCAATGCTCAACCACTGAGCCACGCCAGCCGGGCTTTTCCCCCCACTTTTAATGTTTTTTTTTAATTGAGACATAATTGACATATAACATTGCATTAGTTTTAGGTGTATAGCATAATGATTATATATATACTAGAGGCCCAGTGCATGAAAATTTGTTCACTCAGGGGTGGGGGGTCCCTCAGCCCGGCCTGCACCCTCTCGCAGACCAGGACCCCTCAGGGGATGTCTGACTGCTGGCTTAGGCCCACTCCTCGCAGGGCTAAGTTGGCAGTCGGACATCCCTCTCACAGTTCGGGAGCCCTCGCTCCTTACCGCCCGCCTGCTTGCTGCTCCTTACCACTGCCTCAGAGGCGGGAGAGGCTCCCCCCACCGTTGCTGCGCTCGCCAACCCTGAACCTGGCTTCTGGCTAAGTGACGCTCCGCTGCTGCACTCGCCAGCCCTGAGCCTGGCTTCTGGCTAAGTGACGCTCGCCCTGTGGGAGCGCACTGACCACCAGGGGAAGCTCCTGCATTGAGCATCTGCCCCCTGGTGGTCAGTGTGCATCATAGCTGGTCAGTCTGCCTTTTGGTCGATTTGCATATTAGCCTTTTATTATATAGGACTAGAGGCTCGGTGCACGAAATTCGTGC